CCCTCGGTCCGGGAGGCCCGGAGCGCGGCTACTGCTGCCCACCGGGTGGGGCCTGGGTCCGTCCTGCCCGCGAGAGTCAGCCGGCGGCGCCGAGAGCCTCCCCTTTGTCGTCGGGTGCGTTCCGTCCGGTTGATCCGGGATTAGCCCCGGGGCGGTAGTTGGGCGCGGAGGAGCGGGCGTCGGTGGAAGTGGAAGGGGCACGTTGTGCCCCGCGGGTGCCCTGGAGGGGGCGCCCCGAGCGGCGGGCTCTCACCGCCGGCGCCGAGGCGGGGGTTTGCTGGTGACGGACGGTGCTCTGCACACCAGCGAGTTGGGCGTGATCGGTGACCTTCCAAGGGCCGCCTTCCCTCCCCCGTCGGTAGCGCGGAGCGGGCCTGGGTGGTGACGGCCATCTTGGGGCGCCCTGCCCCCCAGGAGAGCCGGGCGGCCGCGCTGCGGGCGGACTGGGGCATCTCAGGGCCGGCAGAGGCGCCCGTGCTGGGCAGCGGGACTGGCTGCCCACTGGCTCTGAGTGTTAGGCAAGCAGGTAACTGGGGTGCGTGCTCCCAGACAGGCCCCAGTTAGGGGACTTCCTCCGCGAGGAGAGCGTTCGTCCTGGGGCGCAGGTCGGCGGAGGTTCTCGGTATGAGCTGCGCGGCCCCGCCGATGGGCTGGGCTCCCCGGCCGCCCGCTCTAGTCAAGGAGCCTCCTTCAAGTGGGCAGCGAGCTGGCCCTGCGCCCTGGTGCCCTCCGAGCGGTGCCTCTCATTCGGACCACCGCCTGAAATTTAAATTCATGACGTCTTGGACACCCTGGTCACTTTGCTTGTTCGTCAGTTTTTTTGTTTTTTTTACCACCCAGTATCTCAGAGATTTGAGCTGGCGGGCAAAGAAAGCCCACGATTCTGTGAATTTTGGTGTTTTCATTTCCTGAATGTCTAGAAATTAAGGTCTAGCATCCATCTTGTGGCCTAATTCAGCTTAAAGAGCACCCCCCGAGAGTCTGCAGGCCCTCTCCCTTCCTCCCGCATCTGGGGCCTGCCAGGGTGGCTGGCTCTGGGCAACCCACCTAGCATCTCTGAGCCTGGGCCTGTCCCTGGGCAAGGCTGACGATCCCATGAGAGGGTAGATGAGAAAGCATCTTGAAATCAGACACCACTTCTCCACCACGGGTCATTCTGCACCCCAGGAGGCATTTGGTAACCTGTGCAGACATTGTTCATTGTCCAAGACTGTAAATACCATAGTGTCCAGGTAGACCCCACATCAAAGAGTTAGCCAGCCCAGGGCCTGGAGCGCCCAGGCCGACAAGCCCCCGCTCTGAACTAAGAGTGGGTGTTGCTTCTCTGAGGGATTGACCCCATTTGTGTCTGTACCTGCCTTGACTCAGGGTTAGCTGGTGGCAGTGACTTCTCCATGTTTTTGGGTTTAATATGTTCTTTATTGATTTTAGAGAGGGAGGGAGGGAGAGAGAGGTAGAAACATCATTAAGAGAGAAACATCAACATCGATTGGCTGCCTTCTGCATGCCCCCTGCCAGGGATCCGGCTACAGCCCTGGCATGGTCTCTGACTGGGAATTGAACTGGTGACCTCTTGGTTCACGGGTTGACGTTCAACCACTAAGCCACACTGGCCGGGCTCTCCATGGTTTTGTTTGTTTTTTAAATGTTTTTATTGATTTCAGAGAGAGGAAGTGAGAGAGATGGGAACATCAATGATGAGAGTCATTGATCGGCTGCCTCCTGCACGCCCCCCCTACTGGAGATCGAGCCCGAAACCCCAGCATGTGCCCTGACCAGGAATCAAACCATGAGCTGGTTCATAGGTCGACGCTCTACTGCTGAGCCACACCAGCCCGGCTGGCTGTCCATGTTTTTAATGCATTCTTCTCCCCTGTCCAGTGTCAGCCATAAACAGAGCACTGACCTCCCATGATAGTTGATATAGGTGTCCGTCCCCACAGCTGTGCACATTGGTGGGGTGGGCAGGTGGTGGTGGGAGTCACTACCACAGAACCATGGCTTTCAGAACACCTGGCTTGAACGCTGGAGTTTCGGGCTGCAAGGCCTGTGTGTGACTCATTCAGTGGGTTAAAGTGACACCTGTACACACTGATGATACCGCAGTTACTGGTTAGTGATGTTGTCATTGAAGCTACATGTCAGCATTGTAAAGGCACAGGCCTGCGCGTGGTCCCAGCAGCTGGGGGAGCTCTGCCACAGCAGGTCGGTACCCATGGTTGGCCGGTGTGGCTCCCACACAGTGGCCGAGGACTCTTGCTTTCAGAGCTCCGTGCGTGCTGCACACTCTCAGTCCCCTCCCTCCCTACCTCCCTCC